TGTCCCTTTCACTGCCCATGTGTTCCTGTCTTCGTTCCAAACTCTTGCTTGGACAAGAAACAGCAAGTCCACACATCACCTAACAATGCCATCGACCACCAATATACCCACGCCGAGCCAATGGTACGACCGTTACCGCAGATGCGAGGATGGCTACTCGCACGAAGGAAAGTTGGAACTGATCACTTGGGCATCAACGACTGGTGGGAACCGCATGGGATGGGGCAATTGCCTGGCTTCCGAATCCGACCAACTGAAAGAAAAATTCGAGAATGAATTCAACTCCAACGAGGAGAAGATGTACGAGTACTGGCCACAGGGTTTCCGGTGGACCTGTTGCGGAACAGAGGGAGACCAGCGGTTCGGATGTGACCATCACGGAAACGGAAGCACGCCCTGTAGCTGCGATTTTTGCAAGGTTAGTTAGTTTTACGGCCTTTTTCGACGCGAAATAAAGTCATTGGCTTATCTGAAGCATAGATGGGCAAACCAATTCCGGACTCCATCCACAATAGCCGGACAGAATCTGCTGCCGGAAATGGTCTGAGACTTTCCAGAGGTCCGGATCCGAGGAGCCTCAATAGGAGCCACGGTGATATAGCGGAAATCATGCGCTTGGCCCTGGGGATGCCGTAAATTCTACATCACCCCTTGCAGTTTACAGCGATGGTGCAGATGGTGCCAGGTTGTGCAAGTAGTGGAATCAGCTGAAGGCTGCGACTCGGCCGGCATGGCAATTAACACTTAATACACTATTCGTTCAGGGCATGGCATACACGATTGTTTGGAGGACGCACGCGCTGCCCGCAGTGTTGCAATTTGGTGTGGCCAAAACGGTGATCAGCTGCAAGAATGGGCAGCGGCGAAACTCAGCGAGCATCTGAGAAGGCAAAGCCAGGAAGATGGAGGCGAAGCAAAAACGAATCCGGGCGAGACGGGCTACCGAGCGACAGGTACTCGAACAGGAACTGAGGCAGCATCGGCAGGTTCAGTACGCGGGCAATGTCCAACACCCGATACAAACCATGTCGGACGAGAACGAGACCTTGCGGTGGGATGATGTTATCGACTACGATATGTGGTCTAAGTCTCCTCCGGATTCTGACTGATTTGGCGTTGGCCCCGTACCCAGCCGCCAAGCGTACCGCCGATAATGGATCTCGGCCCGGAAATCAAGCTACTTGCAGCCTCAACTATGGCCCTCAAAACAACAGGAGGGTGTCGCACAGGGAGCCAGTCTTATGTCTATGCAATCCGCGCCCGATACTTGTCGCGGAAGTGCGATGCTATAACCCGGGTATTAAGGTCGAGCACCTGCAGCATGCATGGTGCTTGGACCCCGTTGGTGTCAAAGCACACCAGCAGCCTCGGTTACAAGGACTTTGCACCACAAAGCAAAACCCTCATTTGTGTATAAAGAGCGGCGCACTGTCGTGCACTTACAGTTAGCTCTTTAAGATAATTCTCATCAATCACCACGATGCCAGCTGTGATCCCTGTGGTGCCAATTGTCTGACACAGGGCCTGCCAGCAACAAGGAGGGCCTGCCAACACCTTTGCCATGGCCACGAAGACCCCAGGCGTTTGCCACTGTTAGCACACGCATTGCATAGAGCACTACTAATACTGTACATGCTTGATCATTGACCACACGGGAGATGAGACTGGTTATAGACGGCCACAGCAGGCCAACAATTTGGACGCTGTGGTGAAAATGGCAAGTGACATCGACACCTCAGCCAGCAACGAGGGGCAAGCACACCCCGTCGGCCTCTACTGCGCAGCATGCAACGGCAAAATTGGCGCCCAGCCGGTCTTGCGCATCTGCGGCTGTGTGAGTCTTGCCCGTCTGACGAGGAGCGCAGTCCTGACACGGACAGCTGTACTGCGCGGGCGAGAGACGTTCGGGCTGGACGAAGAATGCGGCGTCTGCTTCGAAGCGTTTGTTCCGGGCCAGATCCAGTGCCTCCCCTGCGGTCGGCTACACCGTCTTCTTGCGCTGGACAGGCTGCTGAGTTGCAGGGCACTGCCAGGGCACTCACGTTGTCCTAAGCCCCGCAATTCGCCGTTCCGACTTCTCGAACGACTTTTGCTGCGAACCCTGGCGTTGAACCTGCTTCTGCTGCTGAATGATGCGCTGGTGCTGTCGCTGCTGAGCCTGAGCCAGATTGGACGACTCCTGCTCGATGCTGCTGGGGTTCACGGTGTTGAACTGCTGCGAGTCGGCGGGGGTCTAGAAGTCCATCTCCATGTTGCCCTGCGACGGCGAGGTGTTGAAGTCGAACATATCGTTCTCTGCAGTGAAGGTGGTCAGGTACAGCGAGGCAGCCAAGGGACGAGCACCTCCGCGGGAGGCAACCTGTCACGGGCGAACCAGGTAGGCAGTCCAATCCTGCCTAGAAGGCAACAGCTGCTGCCTGCAAGGCGGCT